ATATGATAATAATAATAATTAAGAGTAAGCAAATCATTTTCAGCGCCACGTTCCAAGTGGATAGAACACATATGAAATGGTTGCCATATAGAGAGAGGGCGCATCCAACAATGCTTGATTAATTCTCGCACATTCTTAATAGCATTAAACAGTCTTTCATTGTATTGAGAGGAGTAGCCAGCTGCCTATTAGTGGATCCATCTGAATAAAGCTCTTGGCAATTCTATAAGCTGAGCTCAGCTGATATGCTATCTCGCTCTCTCTATGAATATACACATACATCTATATATGTCTACGCATTCGTATAGTTTTACGCCAACTCAAGTGCAGAGCAACCCCGGGAGTAGACCAAAGTCACACGCACACTCACACACACACACACACACACAGAGCATAACTGTTATGTTAAGCTTTAGAATAATATGCATGCTTGTTGGCAGGACATCGTCATCAAAATGCCAGGCAGGCAGGCAGGCAGACAGTCAGGCCGACAGGTAGCGACAGGACAGGACGGGACAGGACAGGACGCCAAAGGATACTGGAGATGCCGCCCAAAAAGGGTGCAAAAAAATACGAAAAAGAAAGAAAAGAGAGAGCGGCCAAACACAAATCATATTACAAAACTTTACACGCTTAAGAGCGCATGTAATTGGCTTTTGAAATGTGTGCGCGGCAAAAGGTTAACACGTTTTGTTGGTAACCAGGAGCCAGTGGGGGCAGTGCGGGCAGTGCGGCCCGGACCCGGACCCGGACCCGGCTGTGAATGTGGTAGCCAGTGGCCAGGACAATGGCACCGGCGATGCCAACGATGCGAGCGCTGCGCTTTGGGCCCCGAATGTGCTAATAACAATAAGTGTCCTTTGTGCCAGTAAAATGTCGTCGTGTCAGTGTGTTCACTTTTGAAATATGAGCAGAGACCAGGAGCCCGGAGAGACAAAACGAACGAGCGAACGACAAGGATCCAAGGCAAGGACAACAACGCTGCCTGGCTGTATGACTGGGCTGACTGGGCTGACTGGCAACCCCCTTGATGCCACTGGCTAATTTTCGACGCCGCCAACAACTTAGCGTGCATTGTTGTTGTTGTTGTTGTTGTTTTGCTGTTGGCGTTTGGTTATATCCTTGAAACTTTTTGGCGCTAGACATGTGCTCGTTTTAGCTGTGACGTATATTTAACATGCCACACCGCAACTCCAGCTCCATTCAACATTCGAGTGAAGGCACTGAACAATAGACCGCCTAACCGCCCATGCCACGCCCCACGCCCCATACCTCATGTATATTACGATTTTTGAGTGTTGGCATGTTTGCTGTCAGAAAATTGTCAGAATTTTATGGCCCCATTGGAAGTACATTTTGCTTGATTCCAATTCTTTTTTCTTTGTTTTTTTTTTTGTATTTATTTATTTTTTATTTTACTTTGCTGTTGTTGTGGTTGTTGTTCGCTTCTTTGTGTTGTTTCGCTTTTGATTGTACTTAGTTGTTGTTGCTTGCGTTTTAATGGTGCTGCACTAGAAATTTCTAGCGGGCTCGATGATTGCAAACAATTGACAGGCCTCTTTT